CCCCCCCCCCTACCTTCTTTCTCAATTTGTTAAAGTATAGTATTGTAGATATTGAGTTCTAGTTTATTGGTTGAATATTGACTAGAGTTTAACTACGGGAACTATAGATATGGGCTTCTATCATGCACTCAGATAGCCGAGTATCTATCTTCGGAGATTGTGCTTATCTATCTATCTATCCATCTTTTTATTTCTGAACATATTTTAGTTATAATACGATATAATATTGGTCCTTTATATATTCTGTCTTTTTAAATATATTCACATATATCTGTCTATTTAGATACATTCACAGGAGTGGATACAAAACGCCCAAAAACAAAATGTCCAATATCAAAACACCCAAAACATAACATCCAAAAACAAAACGCCCAATGTTACAAATCGTCCAAAACCAAAACACCCAAATAATAAAACACCCAAGATAACAAAAAGCCCAGATTTCCAAAATTTCCAAAGTTACAAAATGTCTAAAATTACAAAATGTCCAAAATTACAAAATGTCCAAGGTTATAAAATATCCAAAGTTCCAACTTTTTTGTTCTTTTGAACTTTATGTTCATTTGACCTGGTCTATAACATTATTGGCAAGGTCTTGAACATTGATGCAACTTTTCATAGCTGCCTTTTAATATTCCTTACTAAAATACTAGTTTTTAAGTTGTAATTAAACATTTTATTATTTTAACATTTAAAAAAAATTTTGAACATTTTGAAATTTTGGACATTCTGTAACTTTGGACATTTTTTATTGGACATTTAATTTGTAACTTTGGATATTTTGTAATTTTAGATATTTTGTAGCTTTGGATATTTTGTAACTTTGGATATTTTGTAAGTTTGGACATTTTGTGACTTTGGACATTTTGTTATTTGGGCATTTTGTTGCTTTGGACATTTTGTAACTTAGGACGTTTTGTTTTTGGGTGTTTTGTTTTGGGTGTTTTGTTATTGGACATTTTTCTTTTTGGATACATTCACAAGTATATCTGTCTATTTTTCTGTCTATTTAAATATATCCACATATATATCTATCTGTTCATCTACCTCAATTATACGTCCTATGATTATCTATCTATCTATAGTATAGTCCATTCTCCTTGAGTGTAGTGTACTGATTACTAAAAGCTGAATTATAAAATGATTAGGTCTCCCCTCCCCATCNCCTGGAACATGATACGCCCGGAAACAAAACTAACTAAAAATGTCCTTAACAACCCATACATTTTTTCATTCTTGAGATATAGATACAAACTAGTTGAAATATAATATTTTGCGCAAATACTTTTTAAAGGAATTATTTTCCATGGTTAAATGACATTTTAAAAATTATAAAGTTTATTAAAAATTAAAATTAGTTTTTCAAATTACTCTAATTTAAATTTAGGAAAATTTTGCACATTTCATCTTTTCTTATATAACATTTATTTTTTATTTCTATTTTATTTTGACCCCATATCGTTATATTTTTTCCCGTGATGCCCCCCTCTCCTCCCTTTCAAGTTACGTGCCTGGTTTTAACAATTTAAATTTAAGAGAATGAAATAAAAAGATGTTACTTCCATTTATTTGTTCACTAGATTTCTGAAACATAGTAACATCTAAAATATATGTGCTGCAAGGCACCCCCCCCCCCAAAAAAAAAAAGCAAAAAAAAATTGAAAGATTTACCTGTTTACCTTGTTTTATTTGCTTTGAACGTTTAAAGTAAAAGGGACAAAAAAGGCAGAATTTAAGTTTTATAACTTAATTTGATTTGTTTCGATTGTTCTCGATTTTTCTTTAAATTTTGTTTCGTTTGAAGCCTAGTTGTAGATCTAGTTTAATTAATAGTATATAATACTGGTTGTGAGAAACTTCTGGATAAAACTATCATCCCGTGAACATATAAACTATACCGACATTACCGGGATACATTTCGCTCAACACGTTTGGAAACCAAAAATATAGTTGCCGGGTGATGTGTTTGGAGACTAGCAGGGAAAATATATAAATAAAGTCTATCAATTTTTAGTGTTTGTCTTATTATTCTGTGCGCTAGTGGTTTTCATTTTTATCAAATTTGTGGGTGTTGGGAGGGAGGGGG